CATCATTACAGCTTACTTAGCTGAAATAATAGTATTTTTTTTTTACAAAACTATTTCTTATAGAGTCAATCTAAATATAAAATAAATTAGCAAAATAAAAAATAATAATATACAGTCAACTCTTGTTATAACAAACTCTATATCCTAGATCTTAACTTTGCTATAAGGCTATAGTGAAGATTTTAAGAGATTTGAATGGCTAATTCGCTATAACAAGAGTATTTTTATTATATTTGTTCAAAAAATTCATTATATCAAAAGTTTGCTATAACAAAAGTTGATTATATAGCATAGAAAATAATTATGTGTAGATTTTCATTTAAATTTATTATAAGTTTTAAAGAATCTGATAGATTTAATTCTTCAATGACATCATTATTTTATACTAAGTCTATTTATGTATATTACTATTTTAACTGAACTTAATGTATTAAATAAAAATTTAATAATATTAATTATAGTCATATAATTTCTTATAGCTTAAATCACAAATAATCGAAATTAAAGTTTAAAAAACATATAATCTTATATGTTTTTTTAAACTTTGTCTTATCCTTTTAAATATTTTGAAAAATATAAATACTTTTAAAATGTTCTTTCTTTTTAATTTTCTTTAAAGTAATAGTTCAAATATTATTATTTATTTTTTCTCAAAATACTCTTTTTTAGATTAAGTTCAGTAAGTTCATATAACTTAACTTTTTTTTATTTAAACTTTATTTTTTATTTTATTTTTTTTTAAAAACTAAATTTAAGTAAATCAGATTCTTTCTACTTTCTAGATACTGAATTCTTCAGTAATTTTAAAAAAATTATAGTTTTATTTTTTTTAATAAAATATTTTTATTAATACTTAAGGTTACTTGTCTAAATTCATTTTAGATTTAGTAAAATATCTAAACTATAGTTTTACTAAATTTTTACTAAAGTTTTGATATAGTTTTGCATTTTTACAAGCTTTGATATAGTTTTACCTTTTTCAAAATTTCACAGATTTTTTAATAAGATTTTAATATAATTTCACTAAATTTTATCTTTTTCCATTTAGCTGATTTACAAAATCTCTAGGTTTCATCTAACAACCTTACTAATACTTCTTTCTCTTTTTTTGTTGTAGAAATATTATTATACTGATCTCTTGAAGATTATCAAAACTAAACTTAAGGTAATTTTTAAAAGAATTTTTTATTATTAATTTAAAAAATATTTTAATGTTTATTTTTTTCTTTGCTTTTTCTTGTAAGTGCTAGTTAAATAAACTGGATTTTAAGGTAAAGTAGATGCTATATTTTTTTTAAGAAACATATTTAACTTTTCTTTTTTATTTCTTTTTATGAAATACTAGTTAGATAAACTAAACTTTAAGGTAAAGAAGATAGTATTAGTTTTATTTTATTAAAAAGTGTATTTAATGTTTTTTTTTATTTATCTTTTATAGAAATGCTAGCTAAACAAACTAGTCTAAGATAAAGAGGGTATATTGTTATTTTTTATTTTTTTATCTTTTTTACTTCTTTTTTTTTTATAGAATGTTAACTAGACAAGATAAATAAAGAAAAATGTAGTAGATCACAGATTAAATATTTACTAATATTTATTTATTTTCTTTTATAGATTTTAGAAGTTTATGAGTATTATTTTAAATATATTTTATCTTCATTTTATTTGTTTTATTTAAATAAAATGTTGATTAAAATTTTTGTTTTTCTTGTTTTATAGGTATTTTTTTTTGAATTATTCTTGATGTAAAATTTTAAGCAAGTTTTTCAGTTTTAAGACATAATGAGTTTTTAGATAAGTTTCTATTAAATTTTTCTTTACTTATTTACTAATTGTTTATTAATGCTTTTTTTTGTAAGATTTTGATACTAATATTAGTTTATAAAGAATTTGTTACTTAATACTTTTTAATATTAAGTAATACATGCATTTTTTAATACATTAAATGCTTTCATGATATTATAATTAATCAAAATTTATAATTATTATATTACTATTACTAGATTTAATATATTTAATTAATGATAATATCCATTAAATTTTAACATTTTATTATAATTTTATTTTTTTCTATTTAACATTTACAATTATTACTTTCAAGAATTCTTATTTTATCCCTTATTTCTAATTGTGTATTTTGAGATAGTATCTAAATATCATTATTTCTTTTAATAATATTGTGAAGTATTAATATTATATTAATAAATTTTGTAGTAAGTTTAGTATTTTTAATTCTTATTTCTTTTAAAACTGAAAATGATTTTTTAATCTACTAAATGCTTGTTTTATCACATTTTTATTATATTTTATATTAAACAAAACTTATTAATTATTAGGTATTTTAAATGAAAAAATGTATCTTTTAAAAATAGGATAAGCAAAATCAGCAAGAACATAATCTTAATTTTGAAATAGAATATGTTATTAAGTATATAAAGATAAATTAGAAAAACTTTAACATCATGTACAGATATTGACCATCCAATATCATAATTGATAAATTTTTTTAAATGAATTATAACATCTTGTATATAAATAGTATAATGATATTTTCTATTAATATATATATCTTTATTTAATTTTTTAGTACTTTATATAAATTTATATAAGTTCTGTTAATAATATTAATTATATTAAAAAATTTTGCATTTATATAAATTCATGAATAATTTATTTTCTATACTCTCTATATGGCTAAATAATATATTAAATACGTAATGATTAAATAATAATAATAACTTATCATATATATTAGTAACTGATTTTATAGAAATGCCAAATTTTGATGTAACATTCTAAATAGTAAACTTTCTATCTAATAAAAGTAAGATTACAAAAAGCTATAATTTAATTGGTTTTTATTGATTACTAAAAATTGGATGATCTTTTATTATATTTACAATTATTCAAAATATTTATTTAATCATTTATAAAGTTATATAAAAATTTCTTTATTATATTCAAAAAAAATATGTTTATATTAAGAATCAGATTTCAGTATATATAAAAATAGATAATTTATTATGTAAGTATTATTGAAAAATAATATTTGTAATAATTATTTTATTTTTACTAGATAATTTTATATAATTATTTAAACTATTAGAATTACTTTTATTACTTGATTTTGTAATATTTGAAGTTGAAATTGATAATTAATTGTAGTAAAATTACAATAGATGAGAAAATATAAAAAACAAAAAAATTTTAAAAGTGTAAAAAAAATTGGTTAAAATAGATTAAAAAACTTCAAGATAAAATTTATATTAATAATTTTATTAAAATTAATAAATTTTAACTTTTTTATTAACAACTCAATAAAAAAAATTTTAAATAACAATTGTTATTAATACATATTGTAATTATTAAAATTTTATCATAATTAATAATAATAAAATTTAAAAAAATCACTGGAAAACTTTCAAATTTCAATATTATTAGCTATATCAGCTACTAATTTTTGAATTTATCTAATTATACAATATATTTTTTAGACTACTTTCTAAATTTATATTGATTTTTAAGGTAAAATAATACATAAAATAATATATATAAATTAATTTACTACATTAAATCAAAATAAGATTTAAAATAAATTAAAAATAATTATAAATACATTAAATTAAAGTAATTTTAATTAAAATAGCTATAAACATTAAATTTAATTTAAATTATTTTAAAGAAAATTTGTTTAATTATTTACATTTACTAAAAAAGAAAAACAATAGTTTAAAATAATAATACAGTTAACTCTTAATATAGTAAACTCTTGATATAACAAATTTTTGAATAAATATAATAAAAATACTCTTGTTATAGCGAATTGGCTAATCAAATCTCTTAAAATCTTACTATAGCCTTATAGTGAAGTTGAGGTTTAGGACATAAAATTCGTTATAACAAAAGTTGACTCTATATATAAAATTATTGCATTTTTTTTAAAAATATAACAAATTTAAATAATATTATCTTTATAAATAATTCAATTTTAAACTTTTATTTTTTTCTTAATTTCTCAATTAATAAACTAAAAGGATTAATTTCTAATATACTTAATGATAATTTATTATCATCAAGTCAATCTTCTAATACATCTTTTTCATAAAAAAAGAAATAGATTGCTAGTTTAATTAGTGAAGTAAATATCTTAACTTCTAGATCATTAATCTCTTATAATATTAAAGTTAGATATTAAGATTTACAAAGTTCTATTTTAGATACATTTTATTAATTTAAAAACAAGAAAAATGTAAGAATTGTTAATATCAATTTTAGCTAGACAAATCATAATATTATCTTCTGAATCCTTATTAATTAACTTCCTAAATTCTAACATATTATAAGTTACTATGTAATATTTAACTATCAAATCAAACATTTTACTTAAAATAATATATTATTAGATGATAGTTTAAAGAATTCATCAAGATAAAACTTATACTTATATAAAGAATAATAAAAGAAAAAATAAATTTTATTTTAAAAAAAAATTAAATTAATTTTTTTAATTTTACTAGAGAATTTTATAAAAGTAAGAATAATTAAAAGAGAAAAAGATATAAGAAAAATATCTAAAAATATATGTATAATAAATTATTTAAATAAGTTAAAATATTTAAAAATAATTTTATTATAATAATAATTTGAATATTAAAGAATATTTTAATTATAGTAAAAAAAAAATTGAATTAAAAAATATAGATTTGATTTTTACAAACTATGATTTATTAAATTAAAGATATGTATTAAGGTTAATATAATATTAAAAAATTATCATTATATAGATAATGATAATAAACTTTATTAAATTATAAATTTAAAAGAATATTTATTCATACCTTATTAAAAATCTGCTACGCCACATCCGAATTTAATCGGGGTGATGTTCCATAAATGGAAAGTAATATTAATCTGATTATCATTTGAAATCATACTCAATCGCCAATATATTTAAGTGTATGTAAGTAATATTTGAATCTTTAAACTCTTTTTTATTCGAAATGACAACTTCAGATCCATACCTAGAAAAAGATATCTCTATAAAGGCTACCGATTTATCTCAATGGAGACTTAAAGTTGACCATGGAAGACAAACGTGGCATTATCTGGAAAGCGATGAAGCAAAAAATTCGCCTCAGTCTATAATTGAAAAATATTGGTTAGGCATACCTTTTGTAAGCTTCTTTTTTATAAAAATTTCTTTAGTTTGTTAATTTGAAAAGTTCTCCTAGTTCTAGATGATAATTGAAGAGCAAAACAGTCTGGCAGGGCTTTTAACTAGTTTTTTTTTTTTTTTTGTAATGGGACTATTGAGTACTGTCAACTCACTATAAATACACGCACTATATATACCCTCATGAATCCATTTCCCCTCCTCTCTACAAATGCAATCTCTCCTAAATGCACGATTTTGAAAATCATGTCTTCGGTCCTAGAGATGTTTTTATAGAATAGTCTAACGAAGGGTAAAACAGGGCTCGCACGTATGTGTAATGCACCCTCAAGGACTCAAGAAAGGACGGAGATATAAAGGCTTAACGGACCAATTGGTCAAAAAATTCTGTCCGTCTTAAATGAAAGCGGTTCGAGCGCCCATGAATAAGCCAAATCTTCGGGCGCCGATCCCTGCAGAAATTTCGAAATTCGAAAGAATCGGAATCTCTGCAGGGATCGATCTTGACAAGTTAAACTCGTGAATTATACAAACCATAGAAAGGTCCAAGGCTGTAGCCCTGCTATCATCATACATTATTAACGATCTTAAGCGTTAATATAATTTATTTTTAAATACAATTGTTTAGGAATCAAAAAAATTCGACAAACCAAAAACTGCATTAGAGGCAGCACGAAATGGATTTGAATTTTTTAAGCTACTCCAGACGGAAGACGGTCATTGGGCCGGTAATTATGGCGGCCCTATGTTCTTATTACCCGGACTTATAATTTCAATGTACATTACGCGTATCACTATTCCTGAAAGTTGGCGAATTGAAATTATCCGATATCTATTCAATAAAGCTAATCCAGTTGATGGTGGATGGGGAATGTATGTTATTTATTATTTCAATTACACCTCTTTGCTTAAAAAGGAAAAAAATGCTGACCGAATTAACGAAAAATTTAAGACATGTTGAAGGTCATTCAACAGTGTTTGGAACAACCTTGAATTACATTGTCCTTCGTATCCTTGGAATAGATGCTGACCATCCATACATGGTCAAAGCTCGTGCGACTTTGCATAAACTCGGTAATCTTAGTTATCAATCTTTTGATTTTTACAAAAAAAAAAAATACACATTATTTATCGTTATAATTTATAGGAAGTGCAACTGCGATACCCTCATGGGGCAAATTTTGGTTGTCGTGTCTAAATGTCTATAACTGGGAAGGGATGAATCCTGTTCCACCTGAATTATGGTGAAATTTTTATACCAATGACTGGCCTTTTTTCCTTCGAATAACATCATTAATAACACAACATTTGTTTCATTAATAAAGGTTACTTCCATATGCAATACCATTTCACCCCGGTCGATATTGGGTTCATTGTCGCGCAGTTTATCTTCCTATGGGATATATGTATGGGAAAAGACTTAGTGCTGACGTTAATCCGCTTATTGAATCGTTACGACAAGAGTTATATGATCAGCCATATGACTCAATCGATTGGGCTCGAGCAAGGAATAATGTTTCAGATGCTGATCTTTATTTGCCACATACAAAAGTTTTGAAATTTCTAAATTGTAAGTGAATTTATTTTAATTTTTTTCTTGCAAGCTTTCTCATCTTAACCTTCTTTTAATAATCGAATTAGTTGTCTTGACTTTATACGAAAAGCTTCCAAATTTTTTTGGCTTTCGTCAAATTTCTCTCGACGAATCTTATAAATTAATACAATATGAAGACAATAATACAGATTATCTTGACCTTGCTCCAGTATATAATCAATATTAATATAAAATGTTGCAATATTATGACATATTAATAATGTCTTTTATTCATAGGTTAACAAAGTCATGCATATTCTTTGCACGTATTATGAAGAAGGTCCTAATTCCGAAGCATTTAAACTTGCTAAAGAAAGGCTCATTGATTATATGTGGATGAGTTCTGAAGGGATGTTGATGAACGGTACAAATGGTTCACAACTTTGGGATACCGCGTTTGCAGCTCAAGCTATCATTGATGCAGGATTGGGTAATTACGCTGAGAATCATGATAGCATGATAAAGGCTTTGGAATTCTTGGATGACGCTCAAATTAAGCGCAATCCAACTGAAATGGAATATTGTTATAGACATCCGTCAAAGGGAGCGTGGGGATTCAGCACACGTGACCAAGGATATACGGTGTCAGATTGTACCGCTGAAGGAATGAAAGCAGTTTTATATCTTCAAAATAAATTGAATTTTAAGCCAACCCTAGTTTCAAAAGAAAGACTTTGCCAAGCTGTGGATATTTTGTTAACTATGCAAAATAGTGATGGTGGATTTGCTAGTTATGAAAAGATTCGTGGACCGGAATTTCTCGAATGGATAAATCCATCAGAAGTATTTGGTAAAATTATGATAGAATATAGTTATCCGGAATGTACAACTGCTGTATTGACTGGATTAAGTATATTTAAAAAATATTATCCTGATTATCGTGCCGATGAAATCGAGTAAGTAAACTAATAATTTGGCGAGATAAAAAAAAAAAAAACGATTCAATCTTTAATGTAATAAATAAATTGATATCATAGGAAAGTATGCCAAAAAGCAGCAAAATTTATACACAAATCTCAAAAAGAAGATGGAAGTTGGTATGGATCATGGGCCATTTGTTTCACATATGCTTCAATGTTTGCTCTTGAAAGTTTGGCATATTTTGGTGAAACATACGACAACAGGTATTTTGATCTTTTTACTATTGATGTTTGGAATTATTTTTAAATTCTTTTTTAAAATTTTATAATAGTGAAAGCGTAAGAAAAGGATGTGAATTCTTAATTTCTAAGCAAAATGAAGATGGCGGGTGGGGAGAAAGCTACAAGGTTGGTTTTGATTGACAGTAAAAATTCTATTTAATTTAGATAGATAAATATAAAATATTATAATATTTAGTCATGTGAGACAGAAGTTTATTCTGGACTTGACCAATCTCAAGTTGTGAATACAGCATGGTCATTATTAGGTTTGATGTCGGCCAAATATCCTGATGAAAAAGTGATCCGACGAGGTATTGAGGTAATTATATAGAAAAAGAGATTGTCATTTATTATTTTTTTTTTTTTTAAAAAAAAAAACCTCTAATATTTAATATCATTCATTAGCTTATAATGTCAAGACAGTTGAGTACGGGAGAATGGAAACAGGAGGAAATTGAAGGAGTGTTTAACAAAAGTGTTGCCATCAGTTATCCGAATTATAAATTTATCTTTACAATTTGGGCATTAGGAAAATATGCCAAAATTCATAATAATCCAACAATTCAATTTTAAATTATTTTATTTATTGTAATATTGAAAGAATAAAAAGTAATAATATACAAGTAATTTACTAAAATTACGACACCTTATCATCCGCTCTTTGTATTTACTTTAATATTCCATCAAATGCGCCAGGAGGCCTTTCAACTCGCTTAATTTCCCAATTATCAAGTTCTTTTTGATTTGCCTGTAACCTCTTTAATTTATACAAAAGACAAAATCATAATTATAATTTAGCTACAAAGAAACATTCATTTCCTTAATAGCGACTTACCCAATACTCCTCTTGAATGCTAACAGATCGTCTATCTTTATTCATTTGTAATTTTTCTTCTCTCTCAATCTTTTTAGTCTTATTTTCGTATAAATCATATCTGGTTTGTGTCAATTGACTTAAAACAAAGGAACCTCCTACCACAGAAATAATCAATGGTAAACCAAAAAGTAAAAAAGGATTTCTCTTTATTGTTCGATATATTGGCGGTTGATTTAAACGTTTTCTAGCAAAAGTCATTTTTTACTAAAGAAGAAAATTTTTTGTCTAATAAATTCCGATTGGATGGAATTTGTAAATTTGGGTCATGGAAGGACCTCCGAGACCTTCCGTCAAATTTTTTTTTCTATATAATAATCTACTTTTTTAATCATGCAGGTAGCAATCTTGATAGATAACATTGTGAAACCGAAATGTGTGGTATATTTCTTGATAGATTAGAGAGTATCGATTTTTTTAAAAAAAATTTCAGTTATAATTGGTACAATTTTACATAAAAAAAAAAATTTCTAAATATGACAATAGTTAAATATGGTTAAATATAATATTATCTTGTGTAAATAGCGAATCATATTGTATTTTGACGCGATTTTCTGCAAAAATGTATAACTATATAATAAACAAGTAGCTTATAAAAAATTTTAAAAAAGTAATGTATGAAATTTCGCGTGAAAAAGACTACGAAAAAAATAAAAGTATCAACTCATTATTTTAGTAACGACACACACTTCGGTTTCACAACGATATCTATCAAGAAGCATATCGAAATCTATCAAGATTGATACGTGTAATAAATCACCGGAATATTCGAATCAAAAGTTTTTTTGGTAAAAAGATATGCAATCTAAAGTTAGAATGATCAAAATTAAATATAAATTAATCTTCATCTTGCATTTTTTTCTAAAAATAAACCGGATCAATTCCCATTTTCTCAATAAGTGAGATATTCCTCGGAGGTTCATTTTAATATTCGCTAAAAAGGGGATGTTATTATACAATAGAACAAAAAATGTAAAGTCCACGGTATTTAACCTCCCCCCCTTTTTTTTTTTAAAAAAAAAAAAAAGTATTTTTCTCTAAAAATTAAATTTAAAAAAAAAAAAAAGTATTTTTCTCTAAAAATTAAATTTAAAAAAAAAAAAAAAAATTTGAATACCTTAATAATAATAATACCTTTAATAATAATGAAAAGAAATACACAAAATCTTTTTTTCACGGGGATATTTCTTATATTTTTTATAAGTATCATTTCGGCGGCTCCATATCATCCATATCAACGATGTAAAGCACAAGGACATGTGGAATTTTTCTCGGACTTTAATAAAGATTCTTTGTTTGGAGTGATTACATTCTACCAACATAAATATGAAAATAAAGTAATTGTTGATGGAATATTCACTACAGATATCGGAATTGATGGAATAAAAACTTCGGACGGAAGACCCCGGTATACAGCCGAATTATATAATGAGGATGAAGAAATGATATTTGATTTGACTTCAGCTGTGTTTAATAATGCCATTCAACTGGTTTCAATAGAAAAGGAGCTTATTAATCTAGAAATCTGTGGTGACGAAGGTATTATTGGTAAAGCGGTAGTTCTCAAAAGAGGTGGTGAAGAAATTGCAAGAGCCGAAGTTTATAGGTTAGATCCTATCGTGTAAAAAGATTTATGAATAACCATTCAAGGGGAGAAAGTAACTTTTTACTTTCCGAGATGATAGCAATAGATTGGTAATGGATATATTATTCTAATTGAATGTATATGTAATTGCTTAATAAGACTAAACTTTGTAATTAATTTTGTGACGTAGCAAGTTATGCGGGATTAGCTAATCAATAAAATTTGATAATTCTGCGATTTCATGAGATTAAAGCGTGAGAATCCATTAAAGTTTTTCTACTCAAATAATAATTAATTGTATGCGGGGAAATGCACTTATGTAAAATAAACAGGAATGAATTCAAGAATTTATGGAATTTCTTAAAAATCCTACTTTATATCATTCCCTCTGAGTTTCAATTATTTCTTCAATTAACCCCAACAGAAAAACAGAGACAATGGATTTAATTTACTACGGCGTATGACAAGTGATCTCCTGTGGTGATACAAAACGCCATCCCAAAAAAATATTCCCACCAAAACCGTTGTATATATATACACATCCTCTAACACCCGCGACTTGATTTTTTTAATTTTTTTTTTTTTTTTTTCAAAAACAAATTCAAGAAAAAAATAGTTCCTTCATTTTCGTTAGTCCTATTTTGTGAATAATAGTCGAATTTTTAACATATTTTTTTAACGGTACATTTTTTTTAAAATGGGATACGATTACTTTAATTAATTTTTGCTTATTGTTTATTTTTTTATTTTATTTTTTTTTTTTTAGATATAATCGACCCTTTCAAATAAAAAAAAATTGTTTTTTTTAAAAAAAAAAAAAAAAAAAATTTATATAAATGGAACCTTCTCGTATTGATCATTTGAAACGTGGTGTCATAATGGGTAGCGCTGTGGGTGTTTGTTTGGGTCTGGCATTGGGAACATATCACATTTTTAGGTAAGAGATAATAATCAACCAATTTTTAATTATTAATGTTAAAGTTCAAACCTTAATTATAATCTAATTTTTCTTCTTAATTTTATTTGTAGATATGGAGCAGGCCCGAGAGGATATGTTTCTACGCTTGGTCAATATATGGTATCGTCAGCTGGTAGCTTTGCATTATTCATGGGAATTGGTTCGGCGATTCGTAGCGAAGAACAACCAAAGAATGTCATGTGGAAACGTCATTTGGAACAACATCAAAGATTTTGTCAAAGAGGTTTTGCTAATTTACCCGTTGAAGTTTTAGAGAGGAAGCGTTGGGATAGAAAGGTCGTGGGAATGTAATTTTCTATAAAAAAAAAATAGCATTGGGTTTAGTTTATCTTGGATAATTAAATATGAATGGTGCAATCACTCCAATTCAATTACCCCCTCTTTATTTCTCCCATACTGGTGATTTAATGCATTTTGCAAATAACACATTACAAAAAATAAAAATAAATAACATCATTTGTAGAAATTTTTTTATGACTAATATTGATTAGAATTCTGGTGCAATATTTAAAAATGTGATTTTTAATCATTATTATTATACAAAAGATTACATGCAAGATAATTTATATTTGTTATTAAATTTTATTTTATGCGAGATGATTTGTGTTGAAAATTCAAATTTTATGATTTCTTCAATAAAAAAATATATATATATATATATCTTGTACATGATTTAATTGATTGTGGCTTTTTTGATCTACCAAAAATTTTCATTTATTAGCAGAATCTTTTGTTTTTTTTTTTTTTTGTGTAAAAAATTAATCAGAAACCTCTTCGTTCGTGAAAGCATCGGATTCTAAATGACGTGAATCTTATCATGTGAAAATTACGATAATGTGCAGTTCAACCTTTAATGCATTCTTCCATTTAAGGGTAGATGAAACATTAACTGGTTTTACTTAATCGTTTACGCGCTCATTATTTTTTTACGAGATTTTTTTTTTTTTTTTTTGTTGTATATGTATGTAATTTGATGAATTTGTATAAACTTTAAATAAAGATTCATGCACTATCGCATTTTTTAAAAAGGAATTTCTAGAAAAAGGGTACTTCGCTGTTTAGTCATTTGTTCTTCTCCTATAAATAATTATGAAGAAAAAAGATCCCATAGCCCACTTAACAGCCGGTGCGATATCGGGCCTAACATCATGTGTCTTATTGCAACCATTCGACCTAGTGAAAACTCGCTTACAACAACAAAGACAACAACGCGTAAAATCCGTAACACCATTAAACAGGTGAGAATAATGAAGCAAATGGTGTAAGTTTTGCCGATTTAAACAATATCTTTTGTAATTTGTTGATTGTTAGTACTATTATGCAGACAGTTAAAAATATTGTTAAGAATGAAAGTATAAGTGGTTTATGGAGAGGAACTATTCCAACAATATTTAGGTATGTCGATGCGTAACTTTAATACATTTAAATTATTATTTCTTATAACCAAATGTTCTTTATTAGAAATGTTCCCGGTTCAGCATTATATTTTTTCACATTATCCGAAATCCGGCACCTCTTCTTTTTAAGACAAAACATCACATTACAAACTTCTTCGAAGTCTTCCTTACCAGTTTTATCAAGTAGAGATAATTTGATTGCTGGTATGATAGCTAGAGGGTCTGTTGGAATTATTATGATGCCTATTACTGTTGTTAAAGTTAGGTACGAGGTATGCATAACCTAAACATAACTCGTGTTGATGGGTTTGGACATATTCTTTGATTTTAATATTTTGAACAAAGTTTCTGACATATGAAAAATGTGTCCAAAACTGTCTAATTGCCATTTATATCACCTCACTTTTCTTGATTTTATTTTGTTTTATTTGATAGAGTAACCTTTATAATTATAAGAGTATATGGAGCGCTCTAACGTCTATTATACGACATGAGGGAGTGAAAGGTTAGATCCTTACCATTCGGCATTTTATGAGTAACCTTTGTTTGAAGTATCCTCTCCTAATTTACTTTGTAACTTTTTTATTCAGGGTTATTTTACGGATACAGTGCTACTATTATTAGAGACGCGCCTTATGCAGGATTATATGTATTGTTTTATGAACGATGGAAGTTATTTATAAGCAGTACGTTGTTGAGAATCTCAATAATATTTTTAACTGATTTTTTTTTCTTATCTCAATATTCATTCATTTATTTTCTTTTCGTTAGATAATACTTCTACAATTGCTTCTCCCGTAATATACATGACTTCTGGTAAACTTAATTATCATCTCTCTCTCTCTTTTAATAAATTAATTCTAAATTACCTTCTTATATTGAATAGCTATGATAGCAGGATTCTTAGCAACTTCTATTACACATCCTTTTGATCTACTTAAAACAAGAATGCAGTTAAAACCTCAAAATTATCCAAATATTTGGATTGGAGCATTAAAAATATTAAAGGTAATTAATTATGTACTGTTTTAATTGCATTATCCTTTTTTAAAAAATTTTTCCAATTTTATCAAATCAATTTTTCGTTTGTGTATTTTGTTAGGATGGAGGATTTATCGGGTTTTTTGATGGGTTAACGCTTAGGTTAGGTAGAAAATCTGCACAAGCCGCTATTAGTTGGACGATGTATGAAGCTTTAATTACTTGGTTTCAACAAAAAAGAAAATTTTAATAATTCAGATGATAACTGAAATATCGGAAAAAAAAATTTTTTTTTGCTTTGCTTTGGATTATGTATATATTTAATTATAAATTTTCTATTTTTATTAATTTTTTGTGCTTTGGATTATGTATATATATATAATTATAAATTTTCTATTTTTATTTTATTTTCAAAATTTTCAAGCATAATAAAAGATGTCAATATTCATTATGTAATTGAATCAGAAAGTTTATGAAATATGAATCTATAAGGTTAGATATAATATGATTACCTATTTACCTATAATAAGAATTTTTTGTTATATTATTTTTTTTTTAAAAAAAAAACAAATTATATAATTCAAGTCAATTTTTAGAATTTCTGAATTTGGTTTAAAACTTTATTTTTTAAGCTTGATAAAAAACAATTTTGTTTAAAAGTAAATAATTAAAACTTTAATATATATTATATATACAGTATATAAAATATATTTATTAAAAATTACTTGATTAAATAATAAAATATTAAATAAATAAGTATTACTTGAATTTTTTTTTATTTTAAGTTAAATTTATTTAAATCATTAAAAAATAATTCAATTAAATTTTAAAAATTATTATTTCTTAAATAATAAGAATTATTTAATTATAATTTTTTATTGCTATTTTTATTTAATTATACTTGCTAATCTTAATTTATTTAAAAAAAAACACATTAATATTAAAAATATTTATCTTTTAAAAGTTATTATAAATCTATATTTTTTAAATTTTTATTAACAATTTGTATCAATATAGATCAATTTGAAAGGTGTCAATTGGGTTCTGAAATTTTTAGTTTAGTAATATCTTTGCGTCATGTAAAAAACTCTCACATTTTGGCAAAATTTATGACGAATGCTGGTAATGTTAAATGTTATTCTGAACAGGTCCAATATTATTTTATCTATACAGTTGAATTATCGAAAGGCTCCTGTAAACATTATCTAGCATATATTCGATGGTATCATTCTACGAATTCAAATATAAGATATCATTTTAGAGTTGACAATACTTGTAATATCAAATTATGGTATACTGACTTTTATCCTAAAAGTCGTGACTAGAGGTTGGAACCGGTTTTAATTTTAGAAACTGGTTTTATTCATGTTATGAAAATTGGAACTGGTTATATATCGGTTTGAATCGATAAATCGATAAACTGGTTAAAACCGATAAATGATAAAACGAGAAACCGATAAACCGATTATCGATATATTTTTTCGGCTCGTCGTTAGTTT